CTAGAGAACTGCAGGCTTCCCTCACACATGACATTCTTCATCCCCGTACACCCAAAGACCTCAGCGGGGCAGAACACACATATACTCACAAGCGCATAAACCATGGGGAAAACTACATGCCGGTCCACAAAACAAGTGTACATTTTCCAAGGCAAAGAGAAGAGCTTGCAGGTGAGAGCAGAAATGGACAAGTGGATAGAGGGAGTGATGCTCCTGTACTGGAGAATTTATTTACATACATACACAGACAATACCTGTGGAGGTGGGCAGGTGACACGTGGCCCAATGGGCAACCATAGAGCAAATGAACAGGTAGAGGTGGGCAAAGTTTGCCCCAGCCGCAGAGGTGAGGACGGCTGCACTGGCCTCCTCCAGGCTATCTTACCCTGGCATCAGGCGAAGGTCACCGTAGTCACTAGGACAGCACCAAGGCTAGGGAGCCTGTGCTCACACAAACCTATTCCTTGACACTCAACTTCACTTCCCTGAGAACCTAATCTAGCATTAGGCTTTCCTCTCCCAGACACACACTGCCCCGTGCTCCACTGTGCAGCTGGCTCCACACTCTGGGCCCACGAGCTCACGGAATCTCCTGCTCCATCCTTGTGGAGGAAGAGCTGTTACCGTGTCCATTTTACACAGCAGAAGACCAAGTGATACAGCGATCTGCCAAGGTCACACAGCTAGCAAGTGGGACTCACTCTTCCCCGCTGAGCCACTCTGCCCATCCCCGCCGGCTCCGGGGCTGCATCCCAGCCTCCAGTCTGCACCGCCCTCCCTCTCTCTGCCTGTAGCAAGCAAGCAACTCTTCTTCGCAGCCTGCTCTCGCCTCAGCCCAGGGCTCCTAGACAAGGGCAGGCGCTGCTCATTTCCACAGCTTATTCTCCTCGCTTGCTCGAAGTCCAACCTGAACAGCATTCTTAGGGACTTCTAGGAGGAAACTAGCTACGGAGATTAAACTGCTGCTTCCAGTCACAGAAGCGGAAGAGAGCTAGTAAAGGCGGTGGCGGGACTCAGCCATTTGCGGGCGTACGACCTGCCCTGCCTACAAATGCACAACCGCAGCAGCTTGGCACCACTCAACTGCACAATTCATCGTGCACCTAATGAATGAGATGCAAAACCACGGTCCCTGCAGTCCCACAGCCAGAGGACGATACCAACACACCCCTCATACAGATCCACAGACTCTCACACGTGGCTTCATTTGGGCTCTGGACAGGTTATGTAACGCTCTGTGCATCAACCCCCAGCCAAAGGACAGCAACGCTCCGGGCTGCGCCGAAAGCAACAGGGCAAAGGCAGAGGGCTTTAGGGAGTTTGTTTGCTTCTTTGTGGTGCTAGGGATGGAACCCAGGGCCTCACACATGCTAGGCAAGTGCTCTATCACTGAGCCACACCCCCAGCCCAGCCGCCTAAGGATAGGGCAGTACAAGTCTCCAGGGCATGGACATTCAGGGAACCAGTGTCCTCTCCAAGTCCAGGAGAAACCAGCTCTGGTTTACCCAGCCAGAACTGTAGCTCATAAGAGAAGATTTTGCAGGGGAAAGGATGGGGACGGGTGCACAGACTGCCTTCTGGATGCTTTGGACATGACTTCTTCATTTTTCCCTGGTCTGTCTCCTTCTGGGGGCATGGTGAAGCTTCTGGAGTGGCACATTTCTCTAAGGAAAGTCTGGGTTTTCCCCACTCCCCAGGCCAGGGGATAGGAAAGAATCTCAAGCAGCCCGTGGTCACTGTCAGCTCCCCGCCACCCCGTAACAGCTGAATGCTTTGAATATCCCACAGATATCTTTGCTGCAGATACTCATAATGTTGAGCATATTCTGGTTGCTGTTGCCAGCAATGCTCTGGGTATTACAGCTACAAACACCAGTAACTACTGCCGAGACTGTCTACTAATGCCAGCACACACTGCAGTGATTGTCCTTGCTAATGGCCACCACCATGACATTCTTAGAGTGGAGGAATAGGCCATGCTGTCCTCAGAGGCAGGAGCTGGAGCAGTTTCCCAGAGGGCAGAGAAGAGCCCGTCTTGCCCTCAGGGTATGACAGTTCCATAGTGCCGCCAGAGCCTGGGGCCACAGGAGGGCCAGCCGGTGGAGATACCCAAAGGCGTCCTCCAGGGAGACAGCCTGGCCCTCCACTCTCTCTAGGGTCAGTCCCTGGCCATGCATCCCCTGTCCCACCCTTACTTTTGAAGTCCCCCAAGTTGGTTTCTCTTTCCCCTACAGTCCTGGCCCAAGAGCTGAAGGACACACCTGGGCGTCTGCAGCTTGTGCCCGAGGCTGCCTCCTGCAACCGCTGGGCCTGCCAGCTGCTTTGCTACCTTGGCCTGACTGCAGAGTTGGGCTACATCATCTTGACACATAATTATCTCCCCTATTCTTAATCATCTGAGCTGCTCCCTAATGCAAACTGGGCCTGGCTGCTTGGAGGCATCCGGAGGGGGCGGGGAGGGCTACCCAGCTCTACCTCTGCTCTCTCCTCTCCCTTCCGTCCCTTTCGACCTGGGGCCCGTGGATCCAGACCAAGGCAGCACTCAGAGAGCTAGCTCCCTCACGAGCAGGCCTCCCAGACAAGGACAGCTCCATCCACCTGGGGCTGGTCCAGAGGAAGGGTGGTCAGGACACGAGAGGCCCACAAACGAGCAGGGCTGCTCTGGTCCTTCTCAGCACTTCTCACCCTGGGCCCGGCAGTGAGAGGAGACCTTGAGGCCCCATGACCCTCCCTCCCCTGCGGACCTTCCCTGCTCCTGCATGGCCTCCCCACTGCCACGTGTCCACACCCGTCCGTTCTTGGCCCTTCCTGTCCAGACTCCTTCAGAGACTACTCTCGTGCTCAGGGAAAACCAAAAACAGAAATCCCAAAACCAAACCAAAACTTGCACCTGCTCTCCTGCAGCCCTGACCAACTACTGAGCCTGACCTGCTCCACCGCCCTCCCGCCCAGTCTCAGCCACAGCTGCCCTGCACTGCTGGCCACAGGCCCTTCTGGTCACAAGGCTGTGCTATCAGATAGGATTTCAGGCTGCCATTGTCTTTGCCTTTCTCCTCAGCCATGCCAGGGCCCCTCCCCAGAGAGGCTGTCCTGGCAGTGACCCCCTGTCCCTCCCAGGGCCCGTGGCCAGACCTCCATCAAGAGCGATGTCTGATGGGCCTTTCTGCTCTGCGGACTCGGTGCCTTACACGGCCCATTAGACTGTAAGCTCCTTAAGGCCAAGAATCACATCTTGTTCTGCTTGGGAATCTGCTTCACTGAGCCTTGCAGCTAATGCGCAGGAAGGCTCCCCGGACGGAAAGACTCAGAACAGTGCATGTGAGCAATCGCTTGGAGAAGACAGCGCCGCCTGGGCCTGCCAGGCCCTGCCCTGGGTGGTCACGGCCTCAGGCCAGTGCCCACCACCCCGGCCTCCTTTTATGGCCCACCCATCAGAGCTCAGGCAGTGGAAGGCAGGAGCGGCCCTACCTTGCGCCAGCAGAGAAGAGGGCAGAGAGGCTTCTGTGGCTTCCCTGGACTCCTGGCTCTAGCACACTAAACAGTGCAGGTGGCTAAAGAGAAACCCTCAGGGTTTGAAGCAGCCTCTCCCAAAGTTCTCAGGGTGCCAGGGAGCTTGGCTGAGCCACGGCAGGGGAAGCCCCAGGGAGGGTTTGGACTTAGGGCCTTTTACAAAGCCTCCCCCTGCCCATCAGAGGCTGCCGCCAAAACAACCACAATGAAATTTAGTGAGTGGCAAAGGCCGTGGCAGCCAAATGGGTTTGGATATTTTGGAAGAAGGAGAAATAGAGCCAGACAAGCTGTTTCCCTGTGCAACGAGGCCATTAGGGCTTCTGGAAGGAGGCCAGCGCCAGGTCATCACTGTCTTGCCAGGCCGAGGCCTCTCCTACACGCTGTCCCTTGCACTGGAGGCCGAGCCGCTCCACGCTCTTCCCTCTGCCTGGGCCTGGAAGCCTGACTACAGCCCAGGGACCGTCAGCGCTGCCCCTCTTCTCCACCCTTTATGCCCTACAGTTCCCCCAACAAGGGCTCATCTGCGCTGGGAGTGACCGTAAGACCTACTGCCCCACAGCGCGCTCTTGAAAGTACAAGGAGCTGCTGCGGGCCAAGACGCAGAGACAACAGGTGTGAACCGGGACTGTCCTGGGCTAGTGGGATGTACCGTCACCCCTTTATGCTCACCTTTACAGGATTCTGTTTCACGGAACCCTACATCCTGCTAAGGACAGGAGGTTACATCTTCCCCAGGGGGGACCATGGGAGAATTGGGGCAGGAAGCGGGTCTCAGATCCTGGTGTCTGTGTGAGTCTGCCAGCCCCATGTCCCGGCTTCATGCATCAGAAGAGAACCCGACAGTCACCAAGAACCCCCGACGCCACAGCACTTGAGAAACACCTTGTCCAAGCTCGCCGCACCGAAGCTTGCCCTTCGTTCCTTACTCCCTTAACTCCCAGCTAACGGCTTGACCTCCCCTTGAGGGGTCCAGGGAAGCGGGGCAAGGGCCAGCAGGAAGCGTGAGTGGAGTCTGCTCTCATGGAGAAGCAGCGTCAAGGAGGGTCCCACACCCGGCTCCCTGAGTGCTCAGTGGGAGAGAAAGGACACCAGGTCAGCTGCACGTGACATCACCCCTTATCTTCAGACGGGCTGGGATCAGGTGAGGACAGGGGGCTGGCCTTTTACCCTTGGTCAGAGACCAGCTGTCCCCAGCCTCCCAAGGTAACCTTCCCAAGGTAAACGGTCTCTGCCTCCTCTGGCACCCTGCAGGGCTAGCTGGGGTGGTCCCAGTGCAAGGTGAGGCCCTCGGGGCTGAGCAGATGGTGAAGCTGGTAGCCCCACCGGCAGCCTCCCTCCTCTCTCCAGGAGCCAGCAGGGCAGTGGGGGACTTGGGCTTTGCCACTAAAACTGATCTCCCAGCAGAGCAGCTGCAAGGCCAGTGGAAACCGGAGCTCTGAGCCAGGGACAAAGCACGCAAAGGGGAAGCCAGACCGCATCCCTCCTCCTACCTTCATCACGTTTCCTCTTCTCACCATTGGAGCGAGGGATCCCCAGGATCCCATTGATGGAGTAGGATCCCACTGGGTCATTGGAGGCGCTGGAGACAGGAGGGGAGGCCGTGCTGGGAACTGGATGGGAGTAAGAAGGAGACGCCGTGAGGACAGCAGTGCTGATCACAGGCCAATGCCCCAGGGCTGGGGCAGGGCGAGTCCACGTGCCCCCTCTGCCCCCAAGGTCGAAGGGGGGTCACACTGCCACATACACCGAGGCTGCTCACACTCTGCCCAGCCCGGTGGGGAGTGCGACCCCCGGCCCAGACCTCCTCTGCGCCGAGGCTGACCCCATCCCAGCCGAGCCTCAGCAGCCATCTGGAGAGCATGGCTCGCAGGGCCCTCCTGGCACAGCTCAGCCACCCCAGGGGTGGGCAAAGCCCTTCCACTCTTCTGTCCCCGCGAGAGCCTTTAGCAATGGTGGGTTACAGGTCTCTCGGGTTCTCTGGGAGAGGAGTGGGTTACAGGTCTCTCGGGTTCTCTGGGAGAGGAGTGGGTAACAGATCTCTCGGGTTCTCTGGGAGAGGCAGGCCGCTCCTGATGCCCCCAGGAGTGCGCAGCTCTCTCCTGGGAGTGTCTGGTCCTCGGCTTCCCCTCAGGGCATGGACTGCTGGGCCATTCCGTGAACAGTGAGCAGCTCAGCAGGGCTTGGCCCAGCCCTCCATCTCAGGCCCCACTGCATCCCAGGCCTGGTAAACAAGTGCTCCTGCCCCTTGGTCAGCAGCGAAGGGGATGGTGGCTAAGAGGGGCAGCAGGAAAAATTCAGTCGTATCCCAGACCCTCAGACCCCAGCTTCGGCTGTGGGCACAGCTGCGCCGAGCACCCGTAGGCCAAACAGAAGTTGGCCTTGCGAGCCCAGGGCGGGGAACGCCGTGGCAGGTGTCCTGGCAGGCCTGGGTGCCTTAGGAGAGACCTGAGCATGGCCCAAGAGAGGCAGGGAGTGACAGTGCACACGAGGTAGAGAAGGAAATCACGACAGGTCAAAAGCAAGGAGGCCACACAGGAGGGAAGGCGGGGGAGAGGGACAGAGTGAGAGCCACATATAGGAGAAGAGAGAGGGCTGGGGAAGTAGCTCAGCGGCACAGAGCCTGGCTGGGAAGCACAAGGTCCTGAGTTCACTTCCCGGTACCAAAAAAAAGAGATACAGGAGAGAAATGGTGAGGCAGAGGGAAGAAAGCAGGAAAAAGAGGGAAGAGAGAAAAATAATTTTAAATTAAAAAAAAATAGAATAAAAAAGTAGACATGAAAGAAAGAGGGACAGAGAGAATTCCATAGGACAGAAGACAGGGAAGGGGGAGGAGCAGAAATGCTGAAAGAAAACTGTTGATTTAAAAAGAGAGGGACATTACGGCAGGGCAGAGGCCACGTGAGAAGCAGAGATCGGCTGCACGAACTCATCTCACTCAGGAAGACCTGTGCCTCCAGGAGCCTGGGGAGGAGACACACAGGAAACATGGGGGCCTGGACTTGGCTGGAGCGGGCAGTTCCAGGCTGGTCTGCGCCCCTGCCCGCCCCGACAGCGCCAGCCTCCCGCCTCTCCTGGCCCTCTTACCAATGGTGTGGCCGGGGGCGCTCACTCCCGTCCCGGCCCCGTCCGGCGTTGGGTGGAAGGGCTGCTGCACTTTGGTCCGGATGATCCTGCAAGGGCACGAACAGCGTCACACATGCCGCGAGTCCCGCCAGGGCCTGCACTGTCCTCAGCCACCCGCTCTCTGCACACTGCCCTCCCTGCTGCCAGGCGAGAGCTTCCCTTGTGAGCGCTGGGCAGAGCTGTCTGCATGGCACCCTGCCCCGCCCTGTGTGTTGTTTGCATTGTGGCTTGAGTTTTGGTGGCAAGGACAGGCGCACAGGCCTACGGGGACACAGCATCTTTTCTCTTTTGGGGACGAAGAAACTGATTCTCCCCCTTGCCCTCCTCAGCCACATGCATGCGCCACTGGGTGCCGTGACTTCTTGGGTCTGGAGGTCATTTTGGAGCTGGCTCCTCCGAGCTGAGGGGAGAGGGATGCTTCCCCGTATCCCGAACTAGGGAGTGCAGGGGGCAGGGCCTGGCCCAGGTGGCCTCTGGTCGCCAGGACTCCAACACTACACATGGTCCTCTGCCGTGGTCACACCTTACACGACCTCCTGCCCCAACTGCTCTGAAACTGCTCTTGATGGCTCCTTAGCAGAGAGCCTTTCTTGGTCACAGCTTCTTTTTTTTTTTTTGTCTTTTTGAGACAGGGTCTCGCTCTGCAGTTCAGGCTGGCCTTGAGCTCACTTTGTAGCTCAGGCTGGTCTCGAACTCATAATGATCCTCCTGTCTCAGCCTCCCGAGTGCTGGGATTACAGGTGTGTGCCACCACACCCGGCTAAGGTCACAGCTTCTTTACCAGGCTGATGAAGAGCTTGGTGCCCCAGGGGCAGGGGTCAAATCACCCACTGTGCAGCTAGGATGAACCTGCCTTCCAGGATGCAGGAAACCCGGGGCTTAGTGGTGTGGGAGGTCCACGCCAGAGCCAGGCTTGAGCCCACCCCTCCCACCTTTCCAACTGCATCGCTCCTCCCTGTAGAAAGGTGCGAGCCAAGTGCACCCGGCTGGCCAGGTGAGTTGCAAGCTGTGAGCCAATGAAGCTTTCCAGTTGGCCTGAGAACCTGCTGGCAAGAGGGTAAGGCCCCTGCCTGCCAGTCCCGGAATGTGGGGGTGGGGTTCACACCCAAGCAAAGCTAAGAAGCGGCGGAAAGCAGGCAGTCAGGACATGGGACACAGAAGAGCTTCCCCATGCGCGTGGGAGGGCCGGGAAGGTCAGTGAGGAGGGTGCTTGGCAGAGCTCCAGAGCCGTGTCCAGGCACACCCAGAGGCGCAGGAGAGGGTACCCGCTGTGCCACAGAGCCCTGTGACCCATTCTGCCTCTGCCATTAGGAGGCCAGCAGCCTCAGGTTCGTCACTCAACTTCTCTGTGCCTCAGTTTCTTCAAATCTAGTTTTTTTTTTTTTGGTTTTTTTTTTTTT